GCTATTTGGCAAACTCGAGCTGATGAGAACAGGCCTATTCTGTCTGTCACAGCTATCCTCTCATACACAAACAAGGCGAGCATGCAATGTATAGAGAGAGCCGATAGTAAATACACTGCGATCTGGGGAGTGCGCAGCGGCAGACTGCATCCTACTACTGTTATCAGGTTTGCAGTTCATGTCTGCCTGCTAGACATGCGCTTATCCTATTCGAGTGCAGGAACAAATCTACCAAACATGAATGTTAGTTTTGTCTCTGCCTCATGCTAACCCAAATGCACACTCAGCAAGAGGGTATGCATTATAACTACATGTACGAGAGCTGAGATGGGGGTAAACATTGTAGGGTCATTTGAATAGCTTGGGTAGACTGTGAGTGTAGATCACATTTACAATAAGTCATTTAGAGAAATAGATATGAGAATGGAATGCAATTAAAGGAAAAATACAGCATATCAAATCGGACATCAGCAGATATGTCACATTAAAAGGAAAATACATCTTACAAAACTGAAATTTGAACCTACATGTACATGATTTAGTTTCCATTTATATGAACATCTATTTAAAATTCCAAGATATATAACAAATAATTGAAAATCGTTTACTTAAAACGTCACCTCCAAAATCACTGTTGTTGCCAATCACTTTAAACTCAACGGAATAAAAGAAAGTTAAAAACTCTTGTACATTTCATTATTGTTATGTTATTCTTGACTTAAAAAGCAACACCCTCCCCCTTACCCAACTTTATTTCAATAATCTTGAACAGGTAAATGTAATGCAGGAGCAAGCACTGTCAACAAATCCCCTACAGCTACAATGTACAATGTACATGTACTGGTACATCTGACAATCCACGGGCAGAAACTACAGTAGCAAATGATGGCTTGCAATGCCTCCACTTAATCTTGAATGATCCCTTGGGATTTGATGGTGAAACTTTATCTGTCAGTGATCAGACAATGTGGTATACAGCTGCAGCAGTGAAGATACCTTTACATGTTATACACCCTGATGATATCTCATGATATCTGATGTCTCTCCTACATGTAACTACCATGCATATTGTATTGCCAATACAGACCTACAGTATATACATGTACAGTACACTATATATGTAACCATACTTGCACTGACTACAGTACATGTAGGCCCAAGAACCATATATATTGGAAAATGAAAGGACTTGGTTCACCCTACAAAAAGAAAAGCTATTATAGATACAAGGGTACAGATGTACATGATGTACATCAACACTGTACGAGAAGGAATTGGGCCCTGCAGTGATCATGTAAAAGAAGATCTACAAATCTTTGTTGTAAAAAAAAAATCATAATGCAAGTACAAATATATATCCCTATTTGAGAGAGGGTGTGTCTCTTGTGCAGCCAAAATAATACATGGGGGTGGAGGGCAGATTCGCCCTGGAAACACCATTAACAACCCCCGAAATAGGCCCAAAATACGATTTCGGGGGCGATATCAAAAAGTGAAACGATCTCAAATCGCCCCCGTAACGATTACGAGCGGCCGCGCGCTCTCTTTTAGCTTCGTATTCATTGTGTGCATTTCTTGGTCCGCGCGCTGAATCTCCGCGTAAAATTGTATACACAAAAATCGGTCGTAAAAAAACTCGAACCACATTCCATACCTTACCTGGCTTACCATGTCGCACGCAAGTACGCCAAAACACATATATTTTTGCAGTTGCGAGATCGAGATGGAGCGTAGGGGTCGAGTTTTTGGCGGTCAATTTTGTTTAGGTTGATCATATTAGCTGAACCTAGACCACTAACATTGCGAAACTGCAATCAATTTCATCACGAATTCACGATTGCCGCAATTTTATAAAGTTTCCATAAATAGAGGTATGAAATTAAAGCCTATTTTATTTTTTGCCTGCTCTTGTGAGTAATGTGTTTGTGCATAAATTTATTCACAACCAAAAATTATCTTTGCAAATCTTGAATGAAAGAAAACAGTTTGAAGAAATTGAACAGGTAATTATTAATGAGCTGTGTAAGTGCATGTACCTGTACATACATGTACATGTATATCATATCAAGCACAGCAAAGAAATAAAATTTCTCGACACATGTTCTACTCATGTGTGAGGGCTATTACTAGCATTCCGAATGTGACACAAATTGAAATGTCTCATTGCGCTTTAGTCAATACTTTTATGATTGAGAGCAGACATGTACATATTGGCGCATTCCGCTCAAACATTAACAACGTCGGTGAGCGTTGGATCAAAGTCGAGCATATTAGTGAAATTCTGAAACATCAATTGAGATGATTTATTAGTTTATTTAATACCAGATGCTTAAATAGATCATGTTGGAACACTGTCTCTACTGAAAACACCTCCTACAGTATGTGCATGTACATGTAGGTACAATATTGGCCATAAATCATTACAGACAGACAGACACACAGGAAGGTCATTGTTAGTTGTCTGATCACTCAGTCAGTCAGTCGGAGAAGCATGACCGAGATACTGCAGTTTATCCTGGGCTAAACTTCCCGAGAACTTCAAACAGGTGAACTTCCCAGAAAAATGGGGCTTATTGACAAAATACAGCTGAGTGAGCATTGCAAATTGATTGTTGATACAACTCTGTATTGCTGTCCTTGAGTAATGGACCATTTTGTGTCAATAGACAGGGATTTCAGTATTGTATGGAGCACAAAACGATGCTGTCTGATGGGTCTTTCGTGTGTGTCGGGGCAACACCTTCTCTTGTCGAAGGCATGAATCACTGTAAACCACAATCTAAATCAGGTCGCACACTTCTGGAACACCCACCAGTCTAGCATGCACTTTGCAGTATTGATTTCTGTACATGTATCTTCAGGAGTTTTAATAGCAGAGGAAAGAATTCAGACAGGGACCAACGCAGCCTCATCCTGAACACAGACACATAGTTGTAGGTACAGGCATGATACAGCTGCATGTACATGTATGTAAACACATAGAAATGTATGTGGATCCAGGTTGAATTACAAATCAATGTATTGATTCACACAAAGCACATTCACCCTTCAGACTTCAATTTTTTTTTATAATTCCGACAGTATTCTTGATTTCATTTGTGAAAATATTAATGGGGCAATAAATAAAGATCTGGTTCCAATAACCTACATGTATCCTGCAGATTTTGTTTATAATATGGTAAAATTATTTCAATATTTAGCTGCAAAACAGGGCAGTCGGTTCATAAACTCATAGTTCAATGAGCAGGTTTTTTTTAGCACACATTTAGGGTGTACAAAGCGAATGGTGTTGATAAAGAATTGATACTAAGGCTGTGCACAACATTGTAATGAGGTTCCCGAGTACACTCCCAGGCTTACAAGCGAACACTTGAATATTCGGACGCCATGTTTTTTTTACAATTTTTATTGATTTTTTTTAATTTAAAAAAAAAAAAAAATTTTTTTTTGCCACCACCATACCACTGGAGCAGTATCCCAAGTCTATCACCGAAAACGCATGCAATTTTACTTCGAGTTGCAGTTGAAGGCGCCGATTTAATAATAATAATAACAGTAAACAATGCTGTTTTAAAAACCAAAGATGGCAGAATAATCCATTTTCCTCCGAGTCCAAACAGAAATCCGGACATTTGGTCCCAGTTTCTGAGTGGTGAGTTTGACAGTGCTTGAGTTGGGAAACATTTTTACCGACAGTACCATGCCAGCGGCCGCCGCTCCCCCTGGCACGGGTAACCGTCAGGCTGGGATTTTTTTTTTTTTTGCGGCCGAATATTCGAGTTAGAGAAATCGTACTCGAGCAGTTGTCAACCATGCGGGTACTCAAGTATCGACTACTCGTCGCAGCCCTAACTGATACACCACATAATAATGACTGCTCACAGCATTTGAGTACCATGTGAATGGTGGCAAAGGACTATAAACTTTGGATACATTTTGTTACTAGGGCAGAACCTACATGTATAAATTATATGCAATGTAAGATTTAGGGAATTTAGTAATTTTTTGCTACAGCTATAGAATGTCACCAAAATATCATATTAAAAAAATTTAGATCAAAATTGCTTGATGAGTCCATTCGTAAAATGCATAACAATGCAAAATACATGTAGCAGCTAACCTTGTTTTATTCATTAGTGGAGCAGGTGGAGCAGAAATCACTGCAAAATGGACCAGCACTTGAATTCACTAGAAGCAATCAATATCATGAATCAATCTAATTTCACAATTTTGTATTTATAGCAGCAGGAAAGCACCTATTGGCTATTCCTCTGATATTAAAGAGGTGTTCATAATCAAGATTGGACTTCATTTTTATGACCGACAGGCCTTACAATACACCACCCTCACCCTCTAGGGAAAGGCATAACCACAAATTCCAAATCCGAAGATGACAGAGAGCTTTCAAAGTCCCTCCTGCAAGTTCTTTGGCGTCTGCAAGTTTCGCTACTGCTGCTTGCAAGAATTGTGGACACAAAAATGAGCTAGTCCCAGGTAGTTCAACTTTTAATAACCAAGTACAGTGTACATGAACTCTGACGCAGTGCAGTGTCCTCATGGAAACAGATGAAAGTGTATCTTTTAGGGTGAATTGAGGGGGGGGGGGATAAAGGAAGGGGTAACCCTGTAACAAATAACCAGAACCGTGGGCCGATCGCTGGCCTATCAGGTAAAATCGGATGATAAATTCCGATCGCCGATCAATGATCGGAAAATAATCGGAAGAAAAAGAAAAAAAAACAGAAATCTTTGACATTTAATGGCATGAAAAAAACTTTAAACATTGACTACATCAACTTCAAATGAGAGATAAATGATTTTTATAGTTATTATAGTGCTCAAAATTGTCGAATTTTGGGGGCAGATTAAAAAAAAAAAAAAAAGTAGATTTCCCTCCCGATCTACCGATACCGATATCGGGAGCCAAACCGCTGATTCGATCATCCGATCCGATCATAGCTCCAGCTTAAAGGGTTAGGAGAAGGTATTATTTTGATTACCTGGTGGTGATTCTTGGCTATGGTTCACCTTTTCAGCATCCCTGTTATCAGAGTTTGAAGTCGAGGCACTCACAAGCTGCTCCTTGGTTTCTTTGGAAGTCACATTGTCAGTGGTATTTGGATTGTCTTCCACTTCGTCCACCTACAATGTACACGTGCAACAAGAGAAAAACATTGATTAACAAGAATACCAGTTGGTAATATCCACAACAGCAACACAAAGTTACAAAAGCATGTAGGATCCTCAGATGACGGATGTAAGGTTGGTCTTGATGGAATTAAAAGTACCGTAGTCAAGTTCAATTTTGATGCTATAGATGGAAACATTTGGTAAATTCACCATGATCACCTACTACATGTAAGACCATGAATTTAATAGTCTCAACATTTTTAATCTTTTTGCTCACTAATGAGTAATGGCCATCATATATTGTACATTGTTGTACCTGTCATTACCAGTAAATGTGCTAACTATGAAGTATGAACTATTGAGAAAGACAATCACAATAAAGAGAAAATAGGGGTATGGAAATGGTATTTACAGTTTTTTTTTTTTTTAAAGTATCGTTACTATCGTAAACCTGGATGGTCAGGATGGACCATTATATGGGTCGTGCTCAGTACCCTAATCAAGTTAATTCTGGCCTGTCTGTTCTGGGTTTTTTTTTAAATCAGAAATGTGTAATTTTATTGCACTTTTTAAGAACTGCACTGCTTACAGTGTTTGGGGAGGGGATATTGCCCTTTTTCAATTAATTGCAAAAATCTCTCTCTAGACTATGTAACACTATGTATAAATAGCTGACTTATGAAGGGTAAATGACGTAAAGATATTTATCACTTTGCAATTTCCAATCCGTTAACCTAATTGCCGGGTTGTGTTTTCTAATGTCAATATACTGTACACTGTATATATTATGTATGAATATTCATATTTAGACAAATGGACGGTCTTGATAATATCAAAGGTAAATTCACTGTTTTACATGTAAATGTGAATACTGAAATGCAATTGATATACTGTACAAGTTGAACATCCCAACAACAACAACAACAAAAAAAAAATCAGGGATGTTATACAATTTTTTTTCTTCTTAATGGTCTTGACTTTAAAACTAAAAGGGGGTGGGGGGAATAATTCCAGATGACAACTATTACTATAAGTTCCTCTTTTCACATGACTTCAGTTTTTTCTGGAACTCTTTTTGAGCTTTCTGAGTTTCTGTCAATAAACTGCACAAGTATAATGAAAAATCTCTCTCAATTTTTTGCCTTTTTTAAAATGAAATGATCAATACCATCTCCCGAAAATATTTCTGAAAATGAGTAGTATCTTCTCAAAATAAGATCAGCCTTTAAAATTAAAGAGACCTAGATGGCGGGCTAGACCTATGTTACAGAAAGATACAATGGTTTTTTGTTGTAATAATAATTAATACCATCTCCCGGAAATATCTCTAAAATGAATAGTATCTTCCCAAAAATAATTAAGATTTTAAAATAAAAAGAGACTTTTGTTACAGCAAGATAAAATTGATAGAAATAATTTGTACGATCAGTTTTTAGAAAGAATGTAGATAGACTAGTTTAGATACAATATATTTTCACAACTTTGATGAAAGTTGCTAGTTGCTAGTTGTATTACACTTTACAGGGCTAATGATGTATTAGGTATGGTGTAACATGTTATTTGGTTATTGTGGCATTACATTGCTATTATTAGCATCAAGGATAGCTTGGGTTAAGATGAGTTCTGGAAAGAAAAAAATGATTGGAAACAAATTTTAAAAGAAGTCTAGATCTAGATCTAGATCTAGTCTAATTAAATTCCACATCAATGAAAAAAGTGATAATTAAAGCATTTTAGTCATTTTGTTAAAATAACAACATTAATTTGTATACCATTCCCCCCCCCCCCTTACCTCCTCCCCCTTTCACTTTCCCTGGGCCAGGGAGGGACAGAGCCAGAGCTCGTCTTGAAAGAAGTTGAGATAATTTCAAAAGAGTTTAAATGAACCCCCGGCCCCCTCCCCACTTTTGTTGGTCTAAATATACTAGATCCACTAAGTATATGAATGTTGTAAACAATTACCTCAGGCACAACTTTACTCTCAACAGCCTGGAGTAGGGCATAAAGTTGGGATCTTAGTGCCTGCTTTTGACTGAACGTGAACGCGGGGTGATTGACTGCAATGACGGCAAGAAGAACGACCTTCTCATCCGTCTCTGTGTGATGTCTAGTTCTGAAGCCATTCGATAAGATGGCGTCTGTATGCTCTTTTAACGTTCGGTACAGCACCGTAGCACCGTTTGTACATCTTGAATTCATTAAAGCAAGACTTGTTAGTACTTTATCAAGTATCCTGATGTCAGTAATATTTGTGAGTTTCGACAAATATGACACATCATTTGCATGAAGTTCAGACTCTCGAAGTCGATCATAGTCCCGTCTCCCTAAACTCTCAACGTATGTTCCAAGGAATCGCAATTCCAGGGGACTGCAGCAGTCCATGAGCGCACAAAGAAAGTCTATTCGGCGGGATGCAGTTAGATCACAAAACCAAGCTATTACTTCCTTTTTGCACACCATGGTGATAGTTTTTGTCTCCTCCAAGTGAAAAGAAACAGGTAAATCTCCGTACTTTATTTCCGAAACTGCGGCCTGCTCCTGCCAGTCGCCATTACTGCTGAACACTGAGATAATGGGATCCGGGAACTTTGATAATGGAATATTCCATTGTAGGGGTTCCTGGAATAAAGCCCTTTAAAATTATTGTGAAAATTTACCAAAATAAAGCTTTTCCCCCCTTTTAAATACGATTAATGTATTTTAGATCATCAATTCTATTTTATCTAATGGAGCGATAGAAATTTTATAGGAAATGTTTTTTTAGATAACCAGATCTCGGGAAATTACTTCCCTAATTCAAAAGTGGGATCTATCCTGCCTGAAACATTTTTGACTGTCAAGCTGTTTCTTGAAATAAGTTTGATTGTATGGGTAAAACAAGCTCTGAATTTAGTCTTTTAAATCCAGATCAACAGCACAAAAGTGCTTTTAAAGATTGTTTTGTGCCTAAGTGGTGATAATGCTGCAAAGTATATTTCATGATTATGTCATCTCGTTACGCATGGCTCATGCTTAGCCCTCGATTTCTGAATACATTTTAGGCTTAACCTAGCATTTCTAATAAAAAAGCAGGACTCGGTTGCATGCGCTTAGAAAAGAAGTTGGTACAAACCAGCTGGTGCACTAGACTATTTCAGTAAATCTGGTATCTGACTTTTTCAATCAGAATAATTATAATAATAACGCGCACATTATGAAAGATGAATAAATGATAATTTCCGCAATGCCTATAACTATCATAAAGTCAATAAACCAACTTTTAGCGGACTAATAGAGACCAAAATGAGGAGGGGGGGGGGGGGGTGGGAGGCACAGGATAATGTATTCCTTAATTTGATGAGCGATTCCCACGTAGGCCGACAATAAGGTCCATGCTAATACAGTACGTGATATTAAACATACTTTGAGATTATGTCCGTGAAAAACTAATAAACAATTGAAAATATTGAGGGATCCCTCAGCCCCAACAATGACGATGCCGATGCATGAGAATATGCCCTATATCTATGTCGATAATAAAGAAGAAGACAAAAATAAAGCATATTTTTTTGGATTTTTTTTGTTGTTGATTTTTATTATTATTATTATTTTTAGTTTTTTTGGGGGGGGGGGGGTTGTTGTTGTTGTTGATGATTTAGATACATTTGTTAAATTGAATAAGGCTTTGACAGGCTTCTCCTGACAACCTGGTCATCATAATTTATACGGGGCGCATGGAACGGCGGCGCTCGGGAGGCTCGAGCCCCCCTCCCCCTCCCCAATAAAATATATTAACAAAAAATGTTAAAAGGCCCATGACATCGAAATACACGTGTGTTCCTGTTGTGCAGTCCTGCATACATCTCATATTTCGATATGTAAACTTCTGAATTTGTTTATAGATTTTTACTGAATATTTTTTGAAATATTTGTTTTTCAAACTTGCTAAGCTCCACCCAAAAAACCTGCATGTATATTTGCCAAAGTGCACCTGTTACAATACCACAAATAATAGCAACATATAAGTTGCTATGTCAGACTAAACTAATATTTTAGAATAGACAATGATATGTAATTTCAGCCAGCTTAGCACACGTTCATAATAGAATTGCATGCTTCCATATATAATAATTATGTACAATACATCATCATTGCCTTTGTCTTTCTGGTGATGCTACAGCATGTCTGGCATAGCTAGCAACTTGTATGTTGCTATTGTATTACGTATTTTAACAGGTGGTCGACTTTGGCAAAGATACATACCACTTTCTCAAGTTAGCTCATTGATGACTGACAGATGATGTCACAAGGGAAATGGGATCTGGAGGTTTATGGGGTGAAGCTTAACAAGTTTGAAGAAAAAATATTTCAAAAATATTTTAAAAATCTATGAAACAAATTCAGAAGTTACATATCAAAATATGAGATGTATGCAGGACTGCACAAGATGTCATGAGCCCTTTAAAGAGAAATAGAAAGAAAGAAAAAATAATGTAAGGCACTATAATTATCTTCAATGGTTAAATTGTTAAAAAACCATACATAATGACGATCCTTGAAACGGATTACTTTACATTGGAACGCATATCAAAGGAATGATAGATACAGGCCGTAAATCATAGACATATAAATGCCCATATAGAAGTGGTTGGGTGGAGCCCAATTAGTGAACCTACTTGATGTACCGTATAGAATATGCTTGAACTCTTCGATAAATCGTAATATTATCGTGGTGAAATAGAGTATGAAGAATAATTGAATAAAAAGGCGAAGGGGGCGTTATGTCTTTACTTTCTTTCTTTTTGCTTATGCATGTAATATTTGGCTTAATGTCATGGCTAATAATTGGCAAATTATGCATGGACATAGCTAAATGGGCACAATTTTGTTTTTATCCGTATCAGGACAATTACCCCCTGGGCAATCACCCCCGGAAAATTACCACCGGAGGAAAACTACCCCCCACAGGACAATTACCCCCCAGAAAATTACCCCCCGGAGAATTAACCCCGAGGACATTTACCCCCCAAGGACAATTACCCCCCAGAAAAATACCCCCGGAGAATTACCCCCCGTGGACAATTACCCCCAGCAGGGGCGTACGCAGGATTTTTTCAAGGGGGGGGGTTTTAAAATATTTTGCTCCCGAAAATTTGAAAATCGCGCCGGCCGAAAAGTCGCTCAGGGGGGGGGGGGGGGGGGGGGGGGGGGGGGGGGGGGGGGGGGTAAGCGGACACTTTTTTTTTTTTTGGTCTCAAAATTCAAAATTTGACATTTTTTACGTATGGGGGGGGGTAAGGTCACCTTATTAGGTTAGCCGTGGGTATTATTTTTTTTTTTTTTTTTTTTTAAATAAAAAAAAAAAAAAAAAAAAAGCCAAAGGGGGGGGGGGGGGGTTTTAGGTTTTTTTAGGGGGGTTTACATACATGAAAAATACCAAAGGGGGGGGGTTGAACCCCCAAAACACCCCCCCTGCGTACGCCCCTGCCCCAAGGACAGTTACCCCCCTGGAAAATTACCCCCGAGGACAATTACCCCCGAGGACAATTACCCCCGAGGACAATTACCCCCCGAGGACAAACTACCCCCCCCCCCCGAGGACAATTACCCCCGAGGACAATTACCCCTCGAGGACAATTTACCCCCGAGGAAAATACCCCGTGGACATACCCCGAGGACAATTACTCCCGGAGGACAATTCCCCAAAGTACAACTACCCCCTCCTCCGAGGACAACTATCCCCAAAGACAACTACCCCCGATGACAATCACCCCCAAGGAATTTGTAAGACATTGACAAATGTTGCGAGCTTCTCTCCAAATTGCTCTTTACAGAAAATTAATAAACTTTCAATAACTATGTTATTTGTGAAGTTTCATTGAGTGTTTTCAAATTATTCACTTCGAAGGGGGGGGGGGAGTTGCCTAATTCCCCCGAAGTTTGCTACCGAGTAAAGAACAGAAATTACATTTTTTGAAGAAATTCAACAATACATTGCGCGCAGATGAATACGCCTTACAGCCTCTCTCACCAAACAATGGCAAAACAAAGAAATTAGGATGTAATATTTCATTTATGCATCCTCTGTAACTTTTTTAATAAGCTGATCGTGTATTTGTCTTGTATAATGGGCCCTCGTCCATGATCCGAAATTAAGGTTTTCTTCGCGTTATCTATATATTTCTGTATCTATATATTTATGTTGTCATGCGGGAGTATGATATGCGCAGGTCGAGGGTTTGAATGACGACACCGGCACTAATATCCTTTGGCAAGATATTAACCTGCACTTGCTACTCTCCACCAGGGTTAAATGGTACCCGGTAGTATGGCGACCGTCATTGTTGGTCACAGCGGTGTCGATTTTTATCCGTGGTTGGGGGGGGGGGGGGGGTGATAGGTGCCAAAATATTTTCGGCAATGGATCAAAGCAACCAAGAGGTAGAAGCGTGTGGCAGGTTGCACCCCTTCCCTTACAAGTTATTAATTTTTTCAAGTCACCCTCAATAAAGATAACATTTTCAGAGAATATGGGACCCATGTGGGCTTGCAACTTGGGTTATTATCCTCTCAAGAGCGTAGCAAGGATTTTATTTTAGGGGGGGCGGTGTTGAGCACGCAAAGCGTGGCTGCAGGTGGCTGCAGGAAGGGGATTTCCCCGTCCCACGCGAAGCGTGGAAGCTTTGATGTTTCATTAAATTATTGGAGAAAGAAGACGATTCGTTGTACCGTTCTCGACTCTTAATCCTTGTCTAAATTCAATTTCTTTTGACGTTCATAAATTATTAGAGAAAGAAGACGATTTGTTGTACCGTTCTCGACTCTTTAATCCTTGTTTGAATGAAGTTCCCCTTCCTCCGCGCGTAGCGCAGAAGCTCTGACATTTCATTAAATTGAAACGATTTTTTCACCGGGGGTGCCGAGATATATATATATATAGATATATATATATATATAATAATATATATATATAATATATATCTATATATATACACACGTATATATCCAGAGTAGGAAGCAATTTGCAACTTTATGAACAAAAATTAGTCGCTTTTTCACACACTTCCTTGAGTAATATGATGTAAAATTGGTTTCTCCTACCCCTCTAAGAGTAGGGATCTTTTGCAATTTGAGAACACATTTTGGGCATTAATGTCCACCTGCACTTCCTGGAGAGAAAAAAACGAGACCTTCTGATTAGTTAGAGGTTAGAGAAAAGTGATCTGTCCCGTCTCGAGACGTTGCATATGCTTTGTTGCTGCACATTGCACAAAGGCCGGTGGTCTGGGTCAGTGGCGAATCCAGAATCCAGGGGGGGTGCCGGGGGCCCGGCCCCCCCCCATGGGGAAAAAAGAAGGAAAAAAGAAGAAAAAAAAAAAAGAAAAAATAATTAAAAAAAGGAAAAAAAAGGAGGGGAGGTGTTACTTCCCCTCAAGCCACTGAACGAAATATCTGACGACGTAATTTTTCCAATTTCCGGGGCCAAAACAAAAAAAAGTGGAGAGAAATTAGGGAAAGAAAAAAAAGAGAAAGAAGAAAGGTAGGGGAGATCAGTTGCGATTTTTTCGCCAACAAAGTGTAGATCGGGGGGGGGGGGAGGGGCAGGGCA